CTCTGGATATAAATTGGCTAATATTAATAATGAATTCATTTATCCTGTTATACATAAACTATTTGGTACTTTTTGTATTAGTTCAAATTATTGTAATCATTGATGCTTATGTATGTCTGACTGTTCATCTACAGTAGTGTGAAATATTATTTCATTGATGTCAAAAGTTAAAGTTTTGTGATTCATATTTTGATTCCCTGTGAGAAAATACTTATGCTTGGTGTTAATTTTGACCACTTACTGTATCATACAAGTAACACTAAGTTGTTGTTGTTGGTTATTAATATACATACAATCCAAAGTAAGTGATTGCTGTACAGATAAGCTGAAAATAATTTGTAAAATATATATTTTTTGTTAATATTATTTTAGTATATCCAATAAAATCTCATACTATCAGTTTAAGATTCGAATATATGATTATCAAATGTCTGTTATATGTATCCTAATTAGCTTGTAAACACGCTGCAGAAAGCCTAAACTCTTTACTTGGGGTTTCAGTAATTTTGCTTATTTATTTATTTCAAGTTTTTAGGCTAAAATAAATATGTAATTCCTTTTTTTCTCACAAAATACCAAAATGTAAAATCATGTTGAGCTGGTAAAACAATTTCTCTTCCACTGCTTTTGGGAGTATTGAAGGGCGTTATCAGTGAAACATTTGTTATGAAACTTATTTAAATAGAGAAATATTTACCTTGAAACATTAATCTATAAGAAAGTATTAAATATTATGATTGTTACATGCAAGTTTATTGCATGGAGAGATTGCAAAATGAAGTCTTTAGGTGAATATTTGATATGAATTATCTTAGTATCAAACTGTACATCTTAAAACATTATATTTATTCTCACCATGGAACTTGTATCCAATTTATAAATCCTACATTATCATATAAGTAGTTAATATAGAGCCATATTCTTACAATGATGCAATATTCTATCTAATATTCTTTATTTTTTCAGGAACTTTCATCAGTCTCAAGGTGAATAATACTTAAATTGGTGAAACATGTGATAATATATCTTATCTTAGTACATCTACTTTGTTGTATGTTACTGTTATGAGTATTTTTGCTTAATACTAGCACTAATGTGGCTGGTTGAGCTATACTATTTCAATGTATTAATAGACATTTTGCTTATATCAATTGTTTATGGGACATTAATTTAAACAATCTTTAACCAGCTAGTGAAGCTTTATCTGGTGTATGCTTCTGTCATTGAATCCTTATGTTTTATATGAGAACTTATCAAGTTGCCTGTATTAAATATTCACAAAGTTATAGTTGGAATGGTATTCGTGCCAATCATTTGTGAGATGCAAACTCTCTAAGCTACAAAATATTCCCTTAATGGATACAACATATGATTTTATATCATAATAACAGTAATAATTCTAATCACATTATTCCACTGCTGTTTACAAGGCCTTTTGCTTGAAGCATAGTTCACCAGAGTGAGTTACAACAATCAGGGCATATTTCTGTTAACAGCTACAAGCATTTCTGTACAATACTTCACTACTGTTTTTTGTAATGTTTATTATGCACAGTTGATTTTTTTTATTATAACCCTGTTTACAAAAAACTAACATTTTTTATTAGTCATTATATAGGAAATTTTCAATCCTGTGACATTTACTTAGTTAAAAATATAAACTGGATTTTACGTTGACCTTACCTGCTTGAGTGGGAATCAAAGTGTGCAACCAACAACCTTTTACAGAGCGCCATTCAACAGGGTATTATGTATTTGATGTCAGAGTTATCAGTTATTAGTTTTACTTTATGTTGCTAGTTTATCATAAAGTGAAAAATAACCTAAATGAAATGTTTGCACAATTTTATGTAGATACATGTAGTAAATTCAGAACTATAGTCAATATTCATATTCCAGTATGGGGTCAGTCTAATTGACTGATCCCATGCACATTTGAGCATAGGTGTACTAAAAATGTTTCTCAAAAGAGTGTTTGTTTTCCTGAGAAAATTATCTTGTACTTCAAAAAGTAGCTCACTTTGTTGTAAGTCTGTTTTTATGTTATTCATCTCTGTAAGCTTTACTGTAGAATAGTTGAGAAAGTTATAGTTTCATTAATATGTATTTTTTTATTTTTTGAACATTATTTCAGATATATGTTCATATTACTAATATTTCCTGTGTCAATCATCATAACTTTAGACATATGTAAGAACGAAAAAGATAGTTGATCGTATAATTATCCATTTAATTTATTAATTAATAAAATCTGGCATTCAGTAAAAACAAGTGAACACAAGCTAGAGCAAAGATGGTAAATCTTTGAGAAACCAGCTGTTGTAAGCATGTGAAGTGGTATTTCTTCAGTTTTTGTTATAATTATTATGTTTATACTTCATGTATCTTTCCTATGTTGAGATGTCTGTTGAGATTGTTTATTCATGATACCAGTTCACATTCTGTTAGAATTAATTGTACATTATTATCATAGTCAGGGATTGAAATGAATGTAACTCATAATGCAACATTCCATAACGTTTTGCATTAATCATGTTAATTTGGGCCAAAGGTAGCAAATAAGCCAACATTAATGGAAGAATATATTATTATATTAGTAACGTTAGGCCTGTGAATTGGCATGTCAGTTTCACTATTTGGCCTGATGTGAGCCACGTTGGTGAGTGTACTTTTACCAGCTGCAAAACCATATCTCAAAAGATTCGTTGATATTATAATCAAAATCCACAGTGATCATCCAAGTATCATTGTCATATCTTCAAGATTAGGCCTAAATTATTTCCAATGCTATCTGTGTGGGAATGTTTTGTCGATTACTTTCGTGTGAATAGTTATTAAGTTTGGTTATATAGTACCATTACTAGATGGTATTGTGTAGTGCCAAATTATCAATTATATTTGAATACAGCACCATCCTTCAAATGAAAGTCATTTGACTTGCCTCATAACATGCTTCCAGAGTCTATTTCTGTTACTAATAAGTCCACAAAAGATTCTCACAAGCTATTTAATAACCTAATATTTATCCCCAGTTGATATAATGGACTAAAATGCTGCTCTTATCAAAACATTAAATAGGCCTACATCACGAATGTTTCCATGTAAACAACCCACACGGGAATAAAAATAAAAACTATGCATACATCCAAAATAGATCATTTATATGGTGTCACAGTGTGCACCTTTTTCAAGGAATTAACTGATAAAGTATTGTTTGACTTATAAACTAAATTACAACAGACAATAATTTATTGATTTATAACAAAAAAAACAACTTAATTGGGATTTTTTTCTTAACTTATGAACAATAAATGCAAGTAAAATTAGGTCCATGTTTTCCATAAGTTAGAATGCTTTCTATCTCATGAAGTTTCCCGCATAACTAAAGGAATATGGATGGATCATGCATTCCCTATTGGGAAAGCCAACTAAAAAATATGAAATTCTTCAAGCAAAGTTAAATTCCTCGGGAATGTGGGAATGTAATATTTTGATCCTTGATAGTGAGACAAAATAATTGACACTGTGTGGCATTGAGGTCTTCACTATAGCATTTGGTCATAAGTAAATAAGTTGGTCAGGTGTTTTGTCAATAGCCAATAAACTAAAATAAAATGGATGAATGATAAGCCAGATCCTCAAGAACATGAAATTTTAGATTTGATATTGGTGAAATACAGTAATAGCTTTTAATTATTGTGAGTTATAATTAATTAGAAAGTTTGAAAGTGTTGTATTATTAAGTAGTTTTTGTGATAACTTACAACAGTTGGTTTTTTTTTTCTTATTTTTTTTTTTCAATCTTTTTTGTGTCAAGATTAGATTATCAAATTAGAAATTTGAAGTTCAGTTTAGATCATTGTGAATGTCAATGCCTAGCATTTTTGGTTTAGGAATATATTCTGTTTAAATTGTGAAAGTTGTAATAAATACTCTCTTATTTTTTAAATCTTGTATTAATGTTTTGGTCATTCTTAGTGTAGAATAAAATATTAGTTTCATGCTAGCTGGCCAGATCATAAGGTATAGGAAGGAAAAACTGTTTCATTAGCTACAAATCAACTTTTTTAGGATTACTAACTAAAAACTTGTGGAGACAAACTTGTTGTCAAGCTTGTATCACTTGATGTAAGTTAAATTAATTTCAACTTCAATCTTCATAAGAAATACAAAAAATGTTGTGGTTTGTCTTAAAAGTCCATAGGTTATATAATTCACTCAATAGTATACATGAAATCTTAAGCTAAGCCAATTGTACAGGTTTCTGTATCCACTGCTTGAAAAAAGTTGCACTCCAAGAAGTCCATACAGAAACACATGCATATACTAGCTTGAGACAAAAACAAAGGTTGCAGAACCTGTGAAATAGGCTTAGCATATGGTTATGACTTTGAAACATTCAGTCAACTCGGGTGTGATTAAATACATGCAGAAACTGCATAGAAAGTTAGAAAATAATACACAAATATACCTGAATAAATATTTATTATATACTAGTTATGAAAGGGTGAAATTCATGACTATTTCATTCATTATGCTCAAGTTGTCAAGACAAAATAGATAAGTACTTCAATTGTTACAAGTGATTTTCCCTTCACAAATCCAGAATGAATTTGGTTTTTAAATTTCGTATATAACTGACTGTGGATAGCTTCTGTTGCAAAGTGGATGCATATTTATGTAAGTTTCCAGCTCAAAAGAGATGTTACTGGAAGCTGATGGTTTTGTCACATGAATATATTAATATATTTCCATCTAAAATAGCACCAAAAATATATTACAATTTAAAGTACAGTGTTATTCTTTTTAATGTTTGAATGTCAAACATGACTTGTAAAAGCTTTTTGAGTGAAATTTTAATTTTCTTCTGTTGGAGATTTCTTGTCATAACATCATTGAAAAGTTTCATTAATATTTCATAAACACTTGTCCTATATTACAAGATACTTTGACATTTGTACAGTAACATAACTATTATTCATTTCTCTTACTGTTCCTAGAGCAATGAACTTGATGACAATCAGAAAACAGCTTTTGACTGGGTCAAAGAAGGAAGTTGGGATAAATTATATACATACCTGACACAACCTGGTTTTAATATAAATGAACAGGATTCAGAAGTAAGTCAAATTGTGCATGCTCACAAAACTGTTCGATTTGTACTGTTATCATTGTGGTTATTAAACAGTGCATTTTTATAATTTTTTTCAGTTTTGAGTGATGATAATAATAATTTTGTATCTTGTAATTTTATTTTTTATTCTACAAAACAATGTATCTTAGATACTTTTATAAACAATGAAGATTAATAAAAACATTAACAAAGCAGTCTATTGTTAATCAGTTGCAGTCACCTCACAATATTGCTCCATAATTTCATATATTAAATTTAGGATTAAAGAATCATCACCTTTGTCAACTAGGTTAGTAAGGTTTTAGCTCTTTCTTATTTTTTTTTAAGGGAATGACACTCCTTCATTGGGCATGTGATCGAGGACACACTACTGTTGTGAAAAATTTGTTGCAGCATGGTTGTGATGTTAACTGTCAGGTAGAGTATTCTGTAAACAATTTGACAAACTAAGGTTATAGGTTGGCATTCTGTATCTGTTTCTTTTTGTAATTGGTAAGAAATGTTTTAATTTTTCTGAACACATGAACTTGGCCTCATAAATATAGAAAAATAAGAATATACATTTGGATTATACTACAGGAAATATAACACTGAAAGACGTGTATAGCTTTATACTAAATGTAAAGCATGAACCTTTGAAATTTGATTTCATCTTATTCTTTTGCCTGCAATATTCTATTTTGATTTTATATAAACATAAATCAGGTCAAATTTCACCTATACTTTGGTATGAAATATATTAATAAATTAAATATAATGTCACCAAAGTGCCTAAAATAGTTAATTGCCTCAGAAAAAAAAGTTTGGCGATTGTTTCAGGATCAAATTTGGGGCACCTATACTACTTTGGTCTATGCAACAACATGTGCTGCAAAAAGGTCTTCATGCCTTTAGTGTCGAGGAAGTATAGCCTAGGTTATTAGACAGTTATTACTTCTCTATCATGCACCTTTATCTTTTACACATACTTAGTTTTAGGTAGATTTAACAATAAAAAATGAGTGTTTCAACAAAATTACTTTAATTTATATTCAAATAAATTTTGTACATAAACTAATGTTGCATACCTGCATCAAATAAATTTTATTTCAGAAGCAGAACTGTGCAGAATTAACAGTCAGTCAAATAATGGCTGAAGACGGCTTGAATGGGTAATGAAGAAAAACTTTAATATAAGTTTAACATAACCGCAAATGTACAACGTTTCGACAAGGTTTTGTCATCATCATGTATATTTCTTATTTTCATTAAACTAATCATTACCGTGTATTATTATTTGCTATCATAATTTATTCTTGCATTAAATGCAAATGTATTTGTTGTAGGATGAGTATGGACAGACAGCATTACACTATGGTAAGTTTCATTTTGTCTTTCACTTATTAAATTCTTTGTAAAAACGTGATCAAAATGAAATTTAACTAAGTATGTAAATGTTACTATAAAAATAATTTACTTATAAGTTAAAGTTTCAGGCGTTAGTAGAAATTCATAAATTATCATTTAGATTTGGTATACAAGATGTCCCAGATGTCTGGACCCATAGGGAAAATAGACATTATATTCTTAGAGTTTAACAAACACATTTCTAATGTCAGTTGTATATATTTCAGGAAAGAAAATACCCTGATGGCACAGTATAGCAAGAATTGATATGTGTATGGCTGTTAATGGCATGCAATTTGAATAAAAAATAAATTGTGTATTTTTTCCTATGGGTTGAGACTTCTGGGACACCCTGTACATGTACATACAATTTTGGACTTTTTGTATTTGGAAGTTTGGAGAGTAGATTATAATATAATTAATCAACTTTTATTACATTTCATTAAATATTTATCTTAGCTAGCTCATGTGGACACTCTGAAGTTATTAAAATCTTGTTAGACGAAGGAGCCAAACAGGATCTTGTCGACTCAGATGGAATGCTTCCGAGACATGTTGCTTTTTCTGAAGATGTAGCTAAGCTTATGGCTCCCTATTCTTAACACAATTATATTGACTTTTTAATATATGGATTCTGATATTTATTACTATATCTCTAAACAACATAAATTGAAATGTGTGCGAGACTGACCTAAAAGAAGTTGCTTATGGTGTGAAAAACATTAGAAAATATCTATTAGATGTGTTTCTTGATAAAAGAGTTAGCACAAAGGATCGCATATAAAGTGTA